GGTGTTTGTTGGGCATTCTTAACCGTTTGTTGGTTGATAACATCTTCAGAATAAATTTAGTAAGTTTTGGGCGTATAGTTAGCCCCCACTTTTGGAATTTTCAAAATATGTTTATTTGCAATCGTTTGTAGGTCGTTTTTTGATGTTTGGTGGATGTATTTTCAGACTAGGAGGGGTCATAAACTATATGCCTTCTCATTTTAATGCAAATTGTTACCGAGCTGATGGGCGTTGGGAGCTTTATGATGACACAAATACAAATGTAAAAAAACTTGTTCATCGACCACCGCTATTCTTCCCCAGAATCTGAATAAGATTAAATATATATTGTCTATACAACCCTTTGATGTTTCTCTGTACACCTAATTACTAAATTGTTACGTTACTCTTTCAAAGAATAATTATTCATTGTTAATGATTCAAAATGAGATTCTTAGGCTTTATCTATTGTGCCGGTGACCAGTGATAATGATAAAAAATTGCGTTTTTGGGTCTATGTCTAAAGTAGTGTATACAAACTATATTGAAAATAACGAAAAACGAAAATTTATCATTTATACATAATCGATTAACGAAGTACAAATAATTGGTGTATTACAAAAATTCCAACCCCCTCAATCGAGGATTGCTTTACATATGCGTCTGCATTTTCTAAAAAATTCGAAATTTTAAAACGAAAAGGAACTTTATTCTAAGGGTGCAATTGAAGTGTTGCTTATGGATCATTTATATATAAACGATTAACGAAGTACAAATATTTGATGTAGTACAAAAATTACAACCCCCGCAATCGAGGATTACTTTACATATAAGTCTGTATATAATCATAAAATTCGTAATGTTAAAAGAAAAAGGAACTTTAACCTTAGAGAGCAATTGAAGGGTTGCTTACGGATCATTTATATATCATCGATTAACGAAGTACAAATATTTGATGTACTACAAAAATTACAACCCCCGTAATCGTGGAGTACTTTACATATGAGCCTGAATTTTCTAATAAAATTCGTTATTTTAAAACCAAAAGGAACTTTAACCTTAAAGAGCAATTGAAGGGTTGCTTATGGATCTTTTATACATAATCGATTAACGAGGTACAAATATTTGATGTAGTACAAAAATTAGAACCCTCGCAATCGAGGATTAGGTACTTTACTTATAAGTCTGAATATAATCATAAAATTCGTAATGTTAAAAGAAAAAGGAACTTTAACCTTAGAGAGCAATTGAAGGGTTGCTTACGGATCATTTATATATCATCGATTAACGAAGTACAAATATTTGATGTACTACAAAAATTACAACCCCCGTAATCGTGGAGTACTTTACATATGAGCCTGAATTTTCTAATAAAATTCGTTATTTTAAAACCAAAAGGAACTTTAACCTTAAAGAGCAATTGAAGGGTTGCTTATGGATCTTTTATACATAATCGATTAACGAGGTACAAATATTTGATGTAGTACAAAAATTAGAACCCTCGCAATCGAGGATTAGGTACTTTACTTATAAGTCTGAATATAATCATAAAATTCGTAATGTTAAAAGAAAAAGGAACTTTAACCTTAGAGAGCAATTGAAGGGGAATTCAATAACTATCAACCAACAAACGATTGCAATAAACATATATTGAACATTCAAAAAGTGGAGGGCTAATTACACATTTTAAATAATTAAATAACGATCAACCAACGTGAAAATATAACTAACAAACACCAACAAAGAACAACAGACGATTGCAATAAACATATTTTGAAAATTAAAGAAATGGGGGGCTAACTATACACCAAAATTTTGAAATTTGAATAATTCAATAACGGTTAACCAACAAACGTCAAAATGTAACTAACAAACGACCAACAAACGATTGCAATAAAAATATTCTGAAAATTCCAAAAGTGGGGGGCTAACTTGACGCCGGTATCTCGAGGATACAACAAATACAACCAAAACTTTTAAAATGTGCAAATAAAGATTTACCTTTACAAAGAACCGCGTAATCTCGTGCGTGGTCTTGGAGCAAATTGTCTAGGGGGAGAATCAATTGCCCACTTACATATTTCCCGAGGATGAATTATCTGGATGCGAGTTGCGGATTGTGTTAGGTACCCGTTATCGTTGTTGCGGTTTTCCTGGTTAAGAATTGCTTGGGGGAAACTATCCTACTGAAAATTAATGTCGTGCCAAAAAAAACGTATAAAGAAATCACAGTAAGTTCTCTACTTTCTTTTATTTTTCAATAAAATTTTTTATACAGAGTGTGTCATGTAGCAATGGCCACCGCCAAGTTCTTATTTTAATGACAACACCCTGTATATTATGTACATTATTAATTGATGTACATCTTTGGATAGTTCTGGAGGGGGAGATTAGTTGCTGCTAATTGATTACACAGTTATAGCACGAATCGTTTTATATTTTAAATGTAAATAGCATAAATATATACCATAATTCAAATGACTCATGGCACCACTCCCAATTTACTTTAAATTACATTTTATATGAAATAATACTATGGTTTATGACGTTTAATGCAATCTCCAGTAAAGCTGCTCATGGCCTCCTCGTAAAACTCATCGTTCGATCTTGGAATGCACTTGTCGACGTCATGCTTTGGAATCACACAAGACAGATCGGTGTTGTTACACTTCCACATAATTCTAATGTTGTAGTTTCCGCCCCATTCTATGAAACTATCCAGGCAAGGGCACTGCCACGGATTCGCAAAGATCCAAATGCCTTTGAGACTATGCTGCAAAGCACTTAACATTTTATCGGGAAGGTAATTGAGCGCGTTGTTACTCAAGTGTATGTACCGAAGGTTCGGCGTTACCGTAAAATCCACCGCGATCTCTTTCAAACGATTTTCTTCCAAAGAGAGCTCCAGTAAATTGTCGAGGCCCATAAATGCGTCCCTGTGAACGTGGATGATTTTGTTGCCCACCATTGATAAGTACTGCAAAGCCGAAAACGAGACGAAAGCGGCTTTTGGGATAGCGCTAATTAAGTTATTGTTAATGAACAGTGTCTGCAACCTAGGAGTGTTGTGGAACCAGTCCTGGTGAAAGCTCTTCAATTTGTTATCGTCCAAAGAAAGCATTGTCAAATTGGGGAGGTTGGCAAAAGCATGTTGCATTATTAGCTCTATTTTGTTATTTTCTAAGTTGATAACGTCTAAAGATGGTAGACTGTCGAAGGCGTTCGTCTCGATTGTGCGTATGTCATTTTGATCCATGTAGATGGTCTCCAAGGCGTCTAAATTTCGAAACGCATCCGACTTTATGGTCGAGATGTTGTTCATATTGAACGATAGTTGAAATTGTTCCGGTATGTTCTCTACGGCACCTTCATTCAAATCACCGAGGTTCTGGGCGATAACCTTAATCTCTTTCAGCGTGGTGGGGTTGTAGATTACGCGTTTGGGTGAAATGCATCCTGTCACAATTTGGTATTTTGATGATGTCACTTCCACCACGAGCACGGGATTTTTCCGAAACGTTATCACTTGGCACTGCTCGGTAACGTGGAAACCGAGGAAAACTTGCGCAATGATCAGTATCTTTATGTACATTTTAGTCGCGAGGAAACGTTGCAAGTAAATTCCTGCTCTTTGCAGGTCAATATATATGAAGTTAACCTTGAAGACTGCGGGATTTTATGGACGAACGGTTAAATCGCACAACAGTTTTACCAAATAAAATGATAAGTTGTTCATCGTGCGGTTGGACTGTTTAAATGGATAAAAGTGCGCTGGTGCCTGGGTAAATCCCTCGGGGAAATACTTCGACGCAGAAATGACAAGGAAATATATATAAATACATGCTTATTCTGAATGCGTTACATAAATCAATGCTAAGATTAACCGCAGAGACCTTTGACACGACCTTAAACTGTTGCTGCTAATCTTTTAGTGAGTGTCTCCAGCTGAGTACTCGAAAAAATGAATTGCCACAGATTGCTGTGTTTTTTACCTCTAATAATTACATGTGTTAGTGCCGAATTTGTGTGCTCAGAACTAACTTTCAAAGACAACGTCGTTGCCATTCATGAGCTGGACAGAACGCATCGAAAAACTGTAACGGGGTGTATTTCCGGTCAAAGTTTGTTGCTGAAAAACTTGAAGAGAATAGTGGTGAAAGATCAACAAATTCACGCGTTGTACAGAGGAGCTGTGTCAAATATTCCACATCCATTCGAGTTGACCCTAGTGAATAACAGAATTACGACTATTAGAAAAGAAGCATTCCTAAATATCGGAGCGCATTCCATCAACTTAAATTGCAATAATTTAAAATGGGTGGAAAGGTATTCTTTTAACAATTTAACTTCTCTGGAAGTGATCGACTTAGATTATAACAAAATACAAACGATGCCAAAATGTGTGTTCCATAACTTAGAAAATCTGACTATAGTCAGCATTGCTCACAACGCATTGAACGATTTTGATCAAGACTGGTTCAGTGGTACTCCCAAGTTAGAGATGTTGTTCTTGAATAACAACCGCTTGCGAAACATTCCCAGAGCGGGCTTTTCGAAGTTTGAAAACCTAAGGGGGATAACACTCGAAGAGAATTGGATAGACTACATCGATCCGCAAGCTTTCAAGGGGACAAGCCAGCTGAATGAGCTATACCTTAGTAACAACAGGATCCAGTACCTCGACTTAGATTTTAGTCACATTCCCTCAATAAAGGTTTTTAACATCGATGGTAACCAACTCACGCACCTTCCCTTGGACAATCTGAAGGCCATCGAAAGCTCGCTGAGACAGCTGAATATACACGCGAACCCCTGGCAGTGCCCCTGCTTCGATGAAATGGCGCATTGGGCCGACACTCACAACATCAAAATGCCGTGGAGATGTAAAGGCATCGATTTATTTTGCTACGTTCCACAACAGCAATCGGCCCAGTGCCTGAATAGAACCGATACGGACCTCGACTCGAATTTCCGCCAATTTTCCATACAGAACTGTCACAAAATTCTCTAATAAAACTTACCCGCGCCAATCTAGCATCGTGGACCAAAACCAACGCGCCAAAAACAGCCATCAACAGTCCGAACACAATCTGAGAAACACCCAAGTATAAAATAATGTCACCATCACCGTCAACTTTTTTCACTTCACCATCCCTTGGCAAGGACTTAACGGAAACATTCGGCGATTCCTGAGGCGTCTTACATATCAAATGGTCCGTCGACAATTTCGTTGATATCGTCAAGTTATTGTCTGTAGGGTTTTGACTTTCGCCCTTCTCCTGGGCGTCTATTCGATCGTCGCCCATTTCGTTCAAAAAACAGAGCACCACATAATTCACGTAGGTAATAATTATACCGCCCCGGCTCAACTCTTTCAATGGTCGCGTAATACTAATCAAATTAAAGTGTTTTGAAGTTATTCTCCTTCTAGAGTTGGTGAAAGCTGTTGAAGAAGTGAATTATCGGGGGCATCGTAGCATCGTATAGTTTTTCGATTTGTTGCCTAAAATTGCTAATTTTAAATGTTAGATTTCTATCTAAATTAGTACAAATGTAGTTTTTTTTCGAGCGTATCGTGTATTTATCTCTTAGCATTAAAACTATAAAGCGTGTACCGTAAAATTTTCTATACAATTGGAAAACGTTGGCGATTGTGTTTTAATTACATTAAGAGACATGTGTACCCTGTTGGTCGAAAAAATTGTTTGCAGGATACCGTTGCCTATTGTGGAGCAGTATGTTGTAACCCGTTTAACGGGTAACAGTAATTAATAATAAAATATAGGTTCGCAGGAAGTGTGGCAGATTGTTTGAAGGTACTGCCAGTGCTGCAACACACATCGCACACTGGTACACACAGACGGAGTGCTTTTTTTCGTATATTTTTCCTTTGTTCTTTTATTATGTATGTATATCGTTTTTATTTATTCATTACTGTACATACCTATACATCCCAGCGAGTTCGGTTATACCATTGAATAATAAATCTGAATAGAAGGTCAGTGAGATAGGAGAAAAGGTGGCCAGTATTCTTTATCTAGAATGTGCTGGTATCGTACGGCAAGTAACAAAACGTGATTAAAGGAAACTCTTCAACATTTTTTAATTCATACAATATAGCCGAGATACTCACTTCAAAATGAGTAGAGAGGTGAGAGAGAATGTTTTGACTACGGTGACATCATGCCATTGATAAACTTACGCACGTCGGTAACTGGATACTTTTGATACAACGATCGTCTAAATATAGTTTTCAGATGAATATCCGACTTAATGTTTTAACAAGTTATAAGTTCTTAATTCAATAATAATAACAGCGTTGTTGCAGAACGTAAAAGGTCAATTATTGGATACAAGATAATTAGACAACAATATGCTATGATAATATGATAAAGGGTCCGTTCACTTAGCCAAAAATGAACTAATTTTTTTTACGTATTGTGCCTCAATAATCATTTGTGCTCAATAGTGCATTTATTCGCACCGTTTGTGCCTTTTTGGTTTTGGAGATAATAGGACAAATCAAATAGGGGCAACTTAAATCGTTATTTTTTTGTTATTTGTGACATTTTCAACTAACTACATACGAAATTAGATCATTCACTATAGTAGTAGGCGAGAGACACTTTGCCCCAAGGCCCATTCTCCAAACGAGTACCTATAACTTTTGTTTGAAAAGTTATTTTAAAATTTTGTTCCTTAACTCATCCAGTATGTACACAACCAATTTCGTGGAATTCTCTCCATTTTCGTTGTCCGGCCAAGAATTGCAGTGGAACTTTTTTTTCGAATTTTCAAAAACTAATTCCAGATTCGTGATTTTTATGTTTAAAAACCGCCAGGCACCAAATTTCGTCGAAGCAGGGGTGCGCCCTTCCGTGATAGGAATTTTGAAAATTTTTTTCAAAATCGGAAAGGGCATACCCGAAAACCTAATTAAAAACGTGTCACTCATCTTTGTAACTGTTGTGTAGTGATTGTTTCAGGTACGGTGAAAACTTTTTGCGGTTTTAGGTCTATTTTAAGAATCCGCCCAAAAATATCTGCAAAAAATACAAAAATTAAATTTTTTAAAAATATGGGCATGTAGCACATCGATTTTAGGGTTTTGAAGTTTTCTGAATTTAAATTTTTAGTTAAAAATGTTTTTGGGGGCATTTTGGAGGAGTGGGGGTGTTTTTAAGGGGTGGGTTTTTATATTTTTTCAATATTAACGTGTCGCTGTCATACATCGATTTATATGTTTTTATGGATAAGGATCTCGAATTCCATATCAAAATGGAGGTACAGCAAGTTATTCAATGTTAAAAAAGTAGAACGACGCCGACAGACGGCCCGAAAATAACATAAAACGCGCGGTACGCCTCGCCCGCGCTGCACGACATCATTTTAATAAAAAGATAATAATTTTGACGCTATCTTGTATATCTTTCTAGGATTTATTCAAAAATCATACTTTGACATCAAAATTGTAATCTCCACCCCAAGAAACTTATAAAAAGACGTATTGCATTTGTTATAATTATTATCTTTTTATTAAAATGATGTCGTGCAGCGCGGGCGAGGCGTACCGTGCCTTTTATGTTATTTTCGGGCCGTCTGTCGGTGTCGTTCTACTTTTTTAACATTGAATAACTTGCTGTACCTCCATTTTGATATGGAATTCGGGATCCTTATCCATAAAAACATATAAATCGATGTACGACAAGTTAATATTGAAAAAATATAAAAACCAACCCCTTAAAAACACCACCCCAATCCGCCAAAACGCCCCCAAAAATATTTTTAACTAAAAATTTAAATTCAGAAGGCTTAAAAACCCTAAAATCGATGTGTTATATGCCCATATTTTTTAAAACTTTAATTTTTGTATTTTTTTGGTCGCCATCTTGAATTTCTCAAAATGCTCAAGGGTGTCAAGGTGGCATTCTCCTTACGAACAAAAAACCGTCAAAAAACCTTCACCGTACCTCACTTCCAGGTTAAGCCAAAAATCCCAGTTTGGCATCCAGACTATTAGGGAAGCGATTGAAGAATGAAAGGACACGTCACGGAGAACGGCAGCGACCGCGCGGTACAGCAATAGTGCTGTCGCTTGTTTACTTACATGTTTTCTATAATATTAATAATTATAGTTTGCGTTGAGCAGATTGTTGCTGCCCTTTCTTCCAGTAAGACAACACAAAAGTAACTGGTGATTGCTGAGAAAAAAATTAAAGAACTCCAAATTTCACCACTTCTTTGGGAGTGGCTCCCAAACGAAACACGTTTGACCCTCGGTTTATTTGAAAAAAAGTGCTTATCTTGAACCCCTCGGCCCTCTACCACCCAATTTTCACCCTGTATAACCAACTTTAAATGACATCCTTACCTTTCCATGTCTGTATATATTAGAAGTTTTAGTTTGATGAATTCAGATTTTCAATTTTCTGAACGTTAATCATCAATACAACACAAGGTATGGTCATAAGCTGCAGTATGAAAGACATAATCTGGAAAAGTATAAACAAGTATAAATTGTGCACAACTCTTGTACAGATAAAGCGCATTTTTTTAACCGAAATAGCTTTTGTTTTGACATCACTAATTGATATATTTCTTGCAGACGTCTCAATCGCCCTTTGTGAGTACCACGAACTTATAAATAAATTAAGATGGACTGTTAATGCTGAATTGACAAATGACACCTACATGGGGGCCGCCATGATGTGCACTCACATGGCGCGAAATTCAAATCAACTAATAAACAATTCCCTAGAAAATAACTAGAATGTGCACATCATGGCGGCGCCCATGCTAGGGCCATTTGTACGTCTATGCAACTGTTTGATCAGCGGTCCATCTTAATTTATAAGTTCGTGTGAGTACCCTCTTCCGACAATCCGATCTTGAGGTATAAGGGAATATACCTGATCACGATAAGAGGTTGAGGAGGAGGGCTATGGTTGGTAGAAATTAATTCCATTCGTTGAGACTCTTTTCATTAGAGTATCATGATGAAGGATAAAACCAGTTCCACCCCCCCACCCTCTGATCTCGAAAATGACTCGCCCGGAAAAGCTATAGTTTGTACAAATCAGTTTCTTTTGATGAGACCTAAGCGTTCACTTAGCCCCAGGCTTAGCCCCCATTTGATTTTTCCTATTATCTCCGAAACCAAAAAGGCACAAACGATGAGTATGAAAGCACGATTAAACACAATCGAAGTACTACGCAATACCGTCGATGAACTATCAAAAAGTTTAATTTTTGGGAGGGCTAAGCGTTCACTTAGCCCCCATTTGATTTTTTCGATTATCTCCAAAACCATAAAAGCACAAACGGTGCGCATAAATGCACAATTGAGGCACAATACATAAAAAAATTGGTTCATTTTTGGGCTAATGGGGGGCTAAGTGAACGGACCCTATGATAAATGTATGTTCTCTTGATTTATTTTTTGACGGTAAAAAACATTCCATTGAATGCGATTGACGACTGCGTCTCTTGCTATGGAAATTCATAATAGCTTTGAAATTTCTTATTCGATCCGTAAACTCGAGAACTTAAGCCGTTTTCTGCATACGACTAGGAAAGCGCTTCAATAGAAATTATACCTATGGGTCGAAATGTCGAATAGCGTGTCTAGGTGTGGGACTTAGTATAACATTTGGAGTAAATTGGATTCTATACCGTGTTGTTAGGTGCCGATGTAAAGATAAAGGACACATCTATGCCTCTATTGTAACAGATTTTTGATTTAATACTCGAATTTTGCATAAATAATTGTAGAAGTACTTGATATTTATGGTATTTTCAGGTGCCGTAATTATTAATATTTAAAAAATATCAAAAATATGTTACAAGAGAGACGTAGAAAAAGGTTTAGAAGCAAACGTGCCGGCATGGCGTTTTCGAGTCTTCGTTTCGTAAAAGTGCAATACATGAAGCCGATTCGATTTAAAAAACCTTTCATTTCACATCATAATAGATTATATTGCACTTCTCTCATTTGAATTTTAAAGTTGTTGTTTAAAGTAGTACTTAATTCCAAATTTTGTCTCAAAACATGTTATTTGTGCATTTATATACGGAAACAGCAATTAAACAATATCTGTAAATGCTCGCACAACTGAGACTGACAGTAGGTATATTGCATATTCTGAAATATCCCAAAACATTGTCTATAGGTACAATAATAGTAAAGTTTAATTTCGATCTTAAAGTCTACATAAGGTAAGATCGTTGGAATCAAGATTTACTTGTAAGTTGATAACTTTGACGTCATTTCCTAAGAGGTGTGCAAATAATAACATGTATTACGTAAGCATAAATTTGTAAATACAGAGATAATATTGCAATACGATCTTCACCTGCTGTTATAACTCCCACGCAGTCTACGAGATAAGTACGCGAAAGTAGCGTCATCTAAAGAAATATAATCACTTTGATTCAGTTGAGTAGGTGGTATAAAACCTCGATTAAAATTTAGTTACTTTTAATAAGCGGAGTTTGTCCCAGAGGGCAACCTACGGAGAAATTCCGTTAAAGTGGACCCTTCAAAAAGCATTGCGTTGTCTTTCTATTCAGATTTATTATTCAATGGTATACTCATAAGCCACATTTTTGTAATCTACGAACTGAGCGATTGAATTTTGAGGGTTGCATCCCATTGGCTATCCACTTGAA